ATACTCTAATGTGATTTTTCTCTGGTACCCATATTCGTTAATAAAGATTGGTCAAAAAGGCTTTTCTGATTCCATAAATTAGGCATTGATCAATCAATATGCAGTTCATTTCGGGGATCTCTGGCCACAAAACATTGGAAAGTTTTCATTATATAGGAATAAAATCAAAAATCAAACTATATTGAGATTTCATTAAAATTGGGCGAGGTCATTATATTTGTGGATTTTGGCCTATGAAATTTGTCTGGTCTAAAATAATTTTGCATGCATTTTTTTCTGGAATAATAACTATCCACTGACAATCACTTATACAGCATCTACTGTTCTGGGAATGAGGAAAAGAACCAGGGACACACTGATACTCTTCAGAGAGGCTGAGAGTGAGCCTGCGAGACCATGTTTGGCGAAAATGAACTTTACTTAGGTGAGCATCTAATGAAAACACACTGGATAAGAAATCCTTCATTTTTAAAATGAATGAATGAGTGTTCATGCTGTCTTTACTAAATACTTACCCATTCATACTGAATACTTATTCAATGACTCTTATTGGTTAATCAGCCATGGGGGGGGGGAACAAATGATTTTCTTGACAACTCCTTCTTTAATAAAAAGAAAAGGGAAAAGATCCTTTCGTCACTAGCTAAAATATGTGTAAACTGGTCTTTAAATGGAAGTAATTTTATTAAAGTTTCAATAAACCAAAAATAAAAAGTCAGCAATACATCAATTAAGTTTTAAGATTTTTTTTCCTTAAAGTGTATTATATAGAAACATTTGAATTTAAAGTTAAGACCACCAAAGTCAAGATCATTCAAAGTCAAGATCACCAAAAATGTAAGATAAATCTAGGAATACTGAAGGTTAAGATTGTGGCTTTCCTACTGTCATTTGCTTTCTCTCGTTCCCCCTTTGGTACCTTGAATGTTTACTGAAACAAGAAAACATGATACGTAAAATAACACTCTTGCAGAAAATCTTTTTAATAAAAAGCTATGCAAAGAAAAAGTGCTACAATGTGGAATTATAACCTATTTTCATTTTCAACATTTGCACGACCTTGAGTTTTCCACTACCACTTGCAGATAATCACAGTATTCCACTAAGGAAATGAAATGGATTTATCAGTGTAAAATACTGCCGTTTTAAATTGATTTATTAAGCAAACTTTATTTGCCTCACAGATCTTAAGACACAAAACACCCTACATCTCACATCTTTGTACTTTCAATCCAGTTTCTTATACACGATAGCTTTATGTATCAAATTGTAGCTCTTAATTTTTAGAGAAAAATAATTGAAACACAATATTCCTTTGGCTACAACTAAAGAAGAGTCAAGAAATTCAACAAAATGGTAAATGTCTGCAAAAGTTCAATTCAGAAACACTGTTTTTTAGTGATCTTTATTAATGGCATCCCAAATTACAGCAATTTCAGATCTCAAATTATCAGTTTTCAGAATTTGTAGCTAAGGTCAGATATGTACTTTGGCATAAAAAGATGGCTTAAAAACTAAATTTTGTTTTAGGAACAAAATAATTCCTTATGGATCAAATGGGTATGGGTCAAATTTTTAGTATAGAAAGCAACACTGCTATATACAAAAAACCCTCAGACTTTATTTTAGAGAAATATATTTTATAACTATGTGAGATTACAAATGTGTTAAGACAGCTTTTAGCTGGTACCTGGCATCTAGATGCCATGAAAAGAAAATTTTCTTTTTTTCTTTCTTCAAAAGAAACAGAATAAATATTTCAGAACCTCTAAATATTTGCATAGACACACTGGCAACAACATATCTTTGAAATAAGCCATGATTCAAAGGTGGCCTTTATAATAAGTGAAATTCCTATTGCCACTGCTTGAAAATATGTTCATGTAAATCTTCAGGTTAAAATGTTGTTATCAAAATCTTTTATTCTGTGAAGCTGAATTTAACTTGTAACAATGTAGCTCAAATCATTTTAAAATCGGGGAAATCCTTTAGAATAACACCTGTTTGTTTACAATGCTACATGAAACTACATTTCAGAATGAATGTGTCAAGTGGCAAAAAAAAAAAAAAAACAAAAAAGAAAAAAGGAGGAAGAAGAGGAAGGAGGGAGGAAAAGAGGAAGAGAGACTAACAGATATAAAATCAGGTCACTTGAAATCCAATACTCTGCACTAAGGTATTATAAAAGTTACACACATGTCCTTTCTTTCCAAAACATCGCCATCATCTTCACATCGAATGTAGATATTTCCTTTAACAAAGCTTCCTAAGTGTTTTTTGTTGCTATTTGAAAATGCAGAACTAATATGTTCTTAGTGGAGGAAAAAAATCACAAAATAAATCTGCCAAAACAATCTGATTGAGTCACTAACACAAGAATAGTTTAGGTATAGGTAAATTTTTAAAGTATGGTAACAAAACTCCTTTCCAAATGGTGTTCTAATTGGTATTATTAATTTTAATTGGCATCATCTATTTCTCTGATGAAAGAAATTACATTGTTTTATTCCTTCATAATTCAAGAAAATCACATCTCTTGATAGCAAATTAAAATCACTCTAATTGACAGTGCCATTTCTCAGTTTTTGATATAGTTACCAAGCAGAAATTTCAAAATAATAGGAGCAGCAAACACATAACTGTATTTTAAACACCCACACTTTCTATCCACACTTCAGGAGAGTTAAGACACACACACATACACACACACACACACACACACACGCACACAGAGGCACAGATGTACACACACACACACAAGCATTATGATAGTAGATAACGATTCTAAGTGAGTTTATTAACTCTTTACGCAGGTTAAGCAACATTTGTTACTAAACTAACCACAAATCAAATAAAGTATATTGTTTAATGACTCACCTACCACATGAACAACAGATATGTAAGGGAGAGAGGGAAAAATGGCCATGTGTTTCAATCTCTGCTTATCTAAAATCTACATCTAGTCAGTACTCATTTTTCAGAGATGCTTCTTTCTAAGATAATCAAGATACTTTTACAATAGGGAATTTAGATTTAATTACCAAACTTTAATATCATGTTATATAGGTCAAGTGAGGATGTGTAACTTTCTCCTGAAACAAAGGGATTCAGGGTAATAGGATTTCAGATTTCATAGCAGAAACAGCAAAATATGTTTTGAGAATATCATTTACTGTAACACAAATCAATATTAAATGCTTTATGCAGGAAGCACACTTTCAGAAAATGGGCCCTAAAGCTTTCTGGGATCTGACCCTAATTACTAGAGCAGTCTTTTGCTATTTGTCTCTCTCTTCAATTATTTACAGGGCAAAAAAAGCCAAATGGCATTGCATTAGCTGTATTAAATGTTATGTACTTGGTTTCTAACTTACTAATGGTACATAAAAATTACTAAGGTAAATGTGCCTGTAGAACACAGCTTTTTTTTCTTCTTCACCTGAGTGTATGTATTTATTATTCATAGGGCTAAGTGTTGAATAGGCTGTCCTTTAGGCACCCAATGCTGCATAATTTAAACAAGTGCATTAAATATATAACACATCTAAAAGGTAGCACAATGATTATACTACAAAATTTCTTTAAACGTCTATAATGTTGCTCGCAAAAACCTGGTATGTTCCGAAGTTCCAGAAAACAATTACGTGAGAGCCACATAGAAATGAGTAATAGGTATTCTTGCGGCTACCATCTTGCTGTTCTTTGGTGACCTGAGGTAAGACGAAAATTAGGTGAGAGGGACAAACGAGGCCCTTCATGCTAAGGAAATTTCTGGACTTGCTGCTGACAAGTGTCCTTTCTGCATGGACAGGGCTATGTTGTGGGCACATGATACATGGACCACACACGTTGTAAGAATGCAAAGCTTATCAAGGTTGAGTCAGAGATTCTTAACACAGGCCAGAAACGCCAACAAGCTGAGCATGGTTGCAACCTCCCCCCAAAAGCTCAAACACTACATCCATACCCAATTGTTTTGCGGTTTATTAGGGCACCAAGAGCTGTGCTAGACCTTAGGGGCTGCAAGAGGCTGGTGCAGCCAACTTCTGCCAAATTGTGGCAGAAGCCTCCAAAACAGCGAAATTTTCACTCTTCCTGCTCCCAAATAATTTTTTTAAAAAGAGTTCAGGAGACATCAATCTATGATGAAAATAAGATAGGCCTACTAAACACGGACCCTAGAATGCCAGTCCCAATCTGTATGACAACATGTCATCAGCTCTCATTACCTAACAGTGTGCGCAAGCACCATTGGAAATCGATGTGTGGTAAACACGTAAGATAGTTTTTAAAAACAAGAAAAAAGAAAGAAACAAGAGCAACGAAACACAAAGTCACTTGTTTCTGCGCACTTAAATCGGCTCATTGTCCCTCCTCTGCAAAAGCTACCCAGAAAATTAAGAGACCTCAATGAATGCAGAGTGAACTTTGGACACTTTTCGACCCAAAACACAGCGTAAAAGTAGAAATCAGTAACCAGGTGAAGTGCCACACCACGCCAAGACCGGAGGCGAGGGGCGGGCGCGCAGGGCCCGAGGCGGGGAGGAGACCTTCCGCCGCCCCACCGGAGCCCGGTCCGAGCGCGGGAGACCGAGGGAACCCTCGGGGCGGCAGGCTCCGAGCCACTCCGGGGGAGCTGGAGCGAGGGCCCGCGGGCGAGGCCCTGGAGGAGCGCCGGGGAAGCCGGCCACCAGCCGGTCCGCCGAGGGCCTCGGGCGCCGGCCGCCGCGCGCGACGAGGGGAACCGCTCGGCCCCGCGACCCTCCGCCTCCGGGCCGGGAAGGGGCTGGCGACTCTTTCCAGTCCACCGCCACCCCCAGCCAGCGCTCTGTAACCCGATCCGCGCTCTCGGCTCTCCCTCCGGGAAGCCGCCGCCCCGCGCGCAGCCCGGCTCTGCCCCTGCCCAGGCCGGCGCTATAGTTAGCAACCTCCCAGCAACTCCGCGGGGGCGCCGGGGGGTCTCCGCGCGCGCCCCGCCCGGGCCCCGGCGCCCCCTTTACCTTGGCTTGCAGATACTGGGGGTAGTAGTAGGTGGCGTACTGAGGGTACATCTGCTGTTTCCACACTTTGCCCATGAAGCTGGAAGGGAGCCTGCCGTGCAGGGTCGCGGACACTTTGGGGTTCCAAGTCTCGGGCTCTCCTGCCTCTCCCTTTCCGGAGGCGGCGGCGGCGGCTGCTGTAGCCGCTGCCCCACCTCCCAGCGGGGACCAGACGTCCTCCTCCTCCGGCTGCTCCTCCTGCTCCTCCTGCTCCTCCTGCTCCTCGGCTCCTGCTCTCCCCGCACCCCCCTTTCTCCTCCCAGGCAGAGAGAAAGACACTGCGGAGCGCAGAGGGCACCCCGGACGAGGCGCTCCCGAGGAGTTTCCTCCCGGAGCCCGACCGCGCCGGGGCTGCCAAGCTGGGGCGCGCTGCTGAGCAGAGCCGGGAGCTGATCAATACCGGTGCAAAGTGCTGCGGCGACGGCGGCGGCCGCGCTCGGTGCCAGGCGGCATCTGGGGTGGGTGCGCCCGGTGCGGGGCGGCGAGGGCTGGCGTGCGGCGGCCGCGGGGCGGGGCGGCGGGGCGGGGCCGGGCGCCGGCGAGCGGGACCGCCGGAGGTGCGGGCTGAGTTTCGGCCGCTCTCTCCTCCCAGGCCGGCGCTGGGACGGCGGGAGCGCGGGGCACCCGGGTGGCTTTGTGTCCGGGTGGGATGGCGGGGTCGGGGCTGGAGCACCCAGTTTAAGAACTACCCAGAGGGGACCGCTTTTGCTTTCCGGAGTTTTTATCTTCGTGAGGGGGAAGGGACGTGAGGAAAAAAAGGAAATCTGATGAATCTCTTACTTCCCCTCACCTCCCTGTCCCCGCCCAATGATTTCTATGTATTTATTATTTATTTTGCACAAGGGAAGGGACATGATTTAGTGCCCAGCCGCGAAGCTGGAGTCGGGACACCTGGGTTCTGTTCTCCCCACCCCCTGCTCCGGGCCACAAGACTAGTTTTCTAGGTGACCTTGGAAGGGTTATTGTCTTTCAGCTTGGTTTTCCCAGATGTGAAAGGTAAGATTATACCCCCTGTACCGAGGCGCGCGCGCGCGCACACACACACACACACACACACACACACATACACACACACACACACACACACACACACACACACACACACCCCTCCCAACAAATTGACAGATCTTTCCCAGGGACGGACATACTGCAAAGAAGCGGAATGTTATTAGGGGACACAATATAGACATCAGCTTTTCTCTGCCTCTTTCTAACGCCGCCAGACAGTCTGTTAACTCCCACTCATGAGCAAGGAAACTCCCGGAGTTTGGAATATTTTAAGGCCATTTTGAAAGTCACTCTGGCATATTGTTGCAGTGTTCTTCGGTGACACATAAAATCAGTCTCTCTCTTTGTGCCTCTCTCCATCTCCTAATTGTCACAGCTCTAGACAGTCTCAACTGAGCAGGGGTTCAGTTCACTACATAAATGGATATAATTTAATGGAGTTAATTGGTGTCTGAATTTGACTTCAGCAGACATTTATATTCTAGATCAAAAAGAGAATACCAAAATGTACAATACCATAGACAAGAAAGCACCCCCAAACTGGTGTCACTGCACAGCTAATAAAAAGCAATAAAATTTTTATTTACTATAAGTAGGCCTAATTACTTGTTTTATCATTTTAGTTTCCTGAGAGTCACTTCTTCATAGCACAAGGTAAATAAACTGGAGTACATGATTTGTTAAACACTCACATGTTTATGTGACATTTAAAGCGAGTTTAGTAACATGCTTTAAAACAATAATAAAACAGCAAAATGAAACCTATCATCTTTCTATGATTTAAACAAATTTCTATGTCATTTTTTGACAAAAACAAAATAACTGTGCTTCATAGGAGAACACGTTGGACATACCAGAAAGCAAACCCTGCACTTCATCACCAACCCTGGTGGGATCCTGTAAGGACACTAGTTTGTACTGAGTTTCTGCTGTTCTATGGACACTGCTGGAGTTAATTTCCAACTAAAGGTTGGAGTTCTATCTATCTAGAAGTCTTCTTTTTAAAAAATCCTTATATAGCCTCAACTAAGACCTTTTAATGTTGTGACACGAACTAACTGACATTTTAGGAACCTAGGAAGATTGGGAATAATGCTTCAGAGCAATGGCAAAAGGAAAAGAAATGAGTTAAGAATAATCTCAATTGGTCTAGGTTTGAAGGGATACAGGAAATTACCATACTTAGACTGTTCTACTTACTGGTTTTTTTTTTTTTTTCTTCTGGATGATGAAAATTCAGCCTGTTTTAGAGAACCCAAAAGTAGAGACACACTTGTACAGACTTTTGATTTATGACTGAGTTGTTATTACAGAGCAGTGGAGAAAGAATGAACTTTTCAACAAATGAATCTGGGTCCGTTGGGAATCCACATGGAAAATATGAAATCAAAGCCCAGTCTTACAAATTCCAAAAGTAAGGAGAGAATTTAGGTAGTTTAAAGACCTACATGTGAAAAGCAAAACTATGAAGTTACCAGAACACAATAGAGGGAAATAGCTTTTTTACCTTTATGTAGGCAAAGATTTCTTTAATAAGGTAAGCAGGAGTACAGTTATTCATATAAAGATTAAGAACCACAGTTCATAGATTCTATAAAGAGTGAAAAAACAAACCACAAAATAGTTATTTGTAATATAATTAACTAAAAAAGTTTAATGTACAGAATACATAAAGAAGTCCTTGGGGTTAGTAAGAAAAGAAGAACATGTTAGCCTCTAAATAAATTTGTCAATGAAAGTGTATTTCACAAGGGGGGAAGCACAAATATCCAGCAAACATATAAAAGATGCTAACATTCATTAGAAAGTAATAAGACAAATGCAAATTAAAATAAGATGCCTTTTCATTATTACCAATAGGTTGGCAAATGTTGAGAATTTGAAAAATAGTAAAAGTAAGTGAAGATGTGGAAGAAGAGAAATTATGTATCTAAAATACTGCTTACCATGAGAAGCATAACTGGCATGATCATCACTTTAGAATACACAATAGGTTGGTCTTACTCAATTTTACTTGCATATATACAGCAATGACATTACCAACATATAGTGTTTTTATTTTGTGAAAAAACAAGACAAAATTTCATAAGAAAATAATAAGAAAATATCTTAATTGATACATTGTGTGTCATTATCTTCAAAGTATTTACTCAGAGTACAAAACAAAAGCCAAAAAGATTCTTACAAAAAATAAACATTACAACATTTTCTTTTCTTTTCGATGATCTAAGATGAATACTATAAATTAAATGAATTAGCATGTATATTAAAATGCTTTGGAAGCAACAAAATAATGTAATTTGGGGAAGCATTTGAATTTTTATCACTCTTCTATTTTGCTCTTTATTTGTATACTTATTTGTGTTTTGTCTTTCTCATTGGATCTTTTGTTTTGTTTTGTTTTTTTGTACCAGGGATCCACCTCATGATCTTGTGCTTACCAGGCAAGCGCTTGAGCTAACTGGCGCTCTTATAGGATCTTACCAAAAGAGTTAAAATCATCATATTACAGGGACACACGCATACCCATGTTTAGAGCAACACAACATATAACAGCTAGAGGTTGGAACCAGTATACATTTTTGAAAAATTCTTCTATATATGTCCCAGGAGAAATGCACAGTAATATTAATGATAGATTGAAAGTAAGTTAAATGTCTACCATACTGCATAAAAAGACTGCAGTATATGCACACAATAGAACACTGCAGCAGCAAAATGAACCTTTAAGTTAAATACATCAATATGGAACATTCCAAAAGTAACGTTAAAGAAGCAGACAAATGGAATTTTGAAGTATAATTTCATTTGCATGAAGTTCAAAACCAGAAAATAACATAAATCAGCAGTACATTCAGTAAGAATATGTAGAGAAATAATTTTTTAAAACATAAAGAAAAACAAGGGGATAACAGCACAAAATTTAAAATAGTATACCTGCACAACTAAACTTACTGGTTGACCGTAGCTCTGTCCCACCTCATGCCCATTTGCCTTACTAATTCCTAGTTTTGCCCAACTATTTTTTTGGCAGGGGTACTGGGGAATCAAACTCATGACCTCGCGCTTGCCAGGCAGGTGCTTATGCACCTGAGCTAAATCCCCAGCCCCTTTTCCCCAACTTTAGACCTGCCTCACCTCATGGTTTTACTCTATAAAATCCTGATAAAAGAGAAAATCTTTGGCACCCCTCTAGGGACCCCTTTTATCTCTCTCTCAGACAGAAGCTTTCTTTCTCTCAATAAATGTTTCTGCTCTTAAAAAAAAAAATTACAATAGTGATTCTCTGAGAAGGATAAGAAGGGTGAGGGGTTTGGGAGACCTCCAAAGGAGACTAAAAGAGAGGGCAATCTGCACATTGCATCCTGGATGGTGGATACATAGGACTATAGTTCAGTGTTTCTCTTTAGCTGTCCATATTTTGCTGCATTTCATACTCAGGTAATTTTAAAATAAAAATCAACTTTTAATTTTAACTTGATGATTTTTCAAGAAAATACAAAAAGCTAGAGAAGGATAATAATCTGCCTATTCCTAACATTTAGCGTGAACCTTTATTAAACATTTGCAGTCCTTGTTACATACATACATACACACACACACACATTTTTATTTTTCTGAAGTACTTTAAAGGAAATTCCAGACATCACAATTTCATCAGTATCTCATTAACAAACTATTTTTAAAATAATACCAAAAGTTAGTAAAAACTTTCTCTTTAGTTAAATTGAAATATATAGCTAGCCTAGAAAAGACAGAATATATTTTTCTTTGCTTGATAATTTTCACAGTGAGTTAGTTTCATAGGAAACTCCAAAGGTATCCTTTTTTAAGCAACATTTTAAACTTGGGAATTATAACATTTGAATTGATTTAATCCTTTATAATCACTATTCTTAATAATACTCAAAGGATCCATCTTTGGTCAATGGGACCCCCTATTTGAATTCTCTGTCTCTGTCTGTCTCTGTTTCTGTCTCTCTCTCTCTCTGTCTCTTTCTCTGTCTGTCTGTCTCTGTCTTTTTGTGTCTGTCTGTCTCTCTCTCTCTCTCTCTCTCTCTCTCTCTCTCTCTCTCTCTTCTCTGCTGTGTTGTACAAAATAAATCTTAACAGTTTTTGATAGCTTTTTTGCTACTAGCGTGGTAAGATTGTCTCAGGTTCTTAGTTCTTTCCTGAACTAAATCAGCCATTACTC